ATCATCAACCAACCAAAGTGTACACCCGCAAGCCTACCCCCTGTTTGTCAGCACACAGCCCCTCTCTCTCTCTGGCTCTCCTTGTTTCTTTTAGATTGAGAAATGCTGAGCAAGTTCTTCCCTTTTTATTTTCTGAATCCAAGTCTTTGAACATTTCATTATTATATTTGACTTTGTCTTTTTGACCTGCCTTTTGAAATTTTCTGTTCAGCTCTTTTACCTTCCCATTTCTTCCCGTTGCTTTACTACATGTACATTGGATAATAAGTTTCAAAGTTTCTCTGACATCTATTTTGGTCTTTTCCTTCTTTCTTGTCTTTTTAATGACATCTTTCTTTCTTTCTGTATGATGTTCTTGATGTTGTCTTATAACTCTTCTGGTCTTTGGTCATTAATGTCTAATACAGGGGTGGGAAAAGTTTAGCCCATGGGCAGTATAAGGCCCTAGAAATTATTTGGTTTGAACCTGCTAAGGCAGCTGAAATTCTGGCCATTATATCAGAGGTGAGTTAATTAAATATTTGACCAAATAAATATAGCAGGATAATTTTAAAAATTTATTTGTATTTTTATTGTGCTTTGAGTAATAGTTTACATGGGAGAACACCATTTTATATTCATCCTATCGCATTTCATTTCACTGCAAAGATTACAATCCCCTGTATGCATCATCAAACAACCAAAGGGTATACCCTGCAAGCCTGACTCCTGGCCGTTAGCACACAGGCCCTCTCCCTCTCTGAGTCCAGAGTTCCCTGCCGCTCTATCTCTCTACGTCATCATCTCTGCCTCCATCTCTGGTGTCATTGCTTCTCTGGATAGGGTCCTGCATTCTGCTTTTCTCCTTTTACGGTCCCAGGGTCCTCTGCTCCTGGACTGCAAAATCAACCACTCCCCTCTTTTTGTTACAAAATGCCTACCTTTACATTTGCAACTCTTATAGTCAGTCCTGAGAGCAATTATTCACTATTGAACCACAAGAGTCTTATCCCCATCTCTTTTCACCAGCCCCATCCAGACAGGTTGGAAACCATTGAGTGGAGATTCTACCTTCCACCGCACCCACTGGAACTAGCCTCCCTCTTGAAAGCTCATAAGGCAGTCACTTCATGCCTTTGCAACTCCCCCTTCTCCCCCCTGAGTATCCAATGTCTAAGTTGCCCATCCCTGTTGACCCTGTGTACCGAGGGGGTGGGAATGATCCTTGCAGTAAAGATTCGTTCCCTCTTTTGAGCTACTACATCCATAAGTAT